CATCGGTTTCACATTAAGCCTTGGTTCCATTTCCAAGATTATGTATGAACTAGCCGTCCCCTGCCATGTGTTGCTATGGCCCAGTCTGTTGATCTGGAAAATCAAGTAATGAGAAAGTGTTGGTTTCTAATCTATGTAATGTCTTTCTGCTTGACAGTATTTCTTGCTGTTTCATTGTCAGTGTTGATGTGGAGAGTGGCTAGTTTGCCTCCTCTAAAACATGCAACATATAATAGTCCTTCTTTAGGGGTCCCTTTCAAATCTATGATTCTATCTCTCTCTCTCTGTGAATCATATATATATCTACGTCTGGATGGCTCTTTGTCAGGAGGGCTTTGATTATGTTTTCTTGCCCCAGTGAAGGGAGTTGGACTCGATGGCCTTAAGTATTTTCTGTTGGTCATGGGGGTTCTATGTGGGAAGTTTGCCCCAATTCTGTCATTGGTGGGGTTCAGAATGCTCTTTGATTGTAGGTGAACTATACATCCCAGTAACGACAACTCCAAAATGTCAAGGTCTATTTCCCTCAAACTCCATCTGCGTTCATATTTAGGCATATGGAATATTCCTGCCAAGTTTGGTCCAGATCCATCATTGTCTGAGTCCAAAGTGCTCTCTGGGTGTAGGTGAACTACAAGTCCCAAACTCAAGGTGAATGCCCACCAAACCCTTCCCGTATTTTCTGTTGGTCATGGGGGCTCTGTGTGGGACGTTTGCCCCAATTCTGTCGTTGGTGGGGTTCAGATTGCTCTTTGATTGTAGGTGAACTATAAATCCCAGTAACGACAACTCCCAATTGTCAAGGTTTATTTCCCTCAAACTCCATCTGTATTCTTATTTGGGCATATGGAATATACGTCCAAAGTTTGGTCCAGATCCACCATTGTTTGAGTCCAAAGTGCTCTCTGCGTGTAGGTGAACTACAAGTCCCAAACTCAAGGTCAATGCCCACCAAACGCTTCCAGTGTGTTCTGTTGGACATGGAAGTCCTGTATACCATGTTTGGTTCAATTCCATCATTGGTGGAGTTCAGAATGCTCTTTGATTGTAGATGAACTATAAATCCCAGTAACTACAACTCCCAATTGTCAAGGTCTATTTCCCCCAAACTCCATCTGTCTTCCTATTTGGGCATATGGAATATTCGTGCCAAGTTTGGTCCAGATCCAAAGTGCTCTCTGGGTGTAGGTGAACTACAAGTCCCAAACTCAAGGTCAATGCCCACCAACCCCTTCTGTTGTTTTCTGCTGGTCATGGGAGTCCTGTGAGTCTAATCTCCCACGTTTGGTTCAATTCCATCCTTGGTGGAGTTCAGAATGCTCTTTGATTGTAGGTGAACTATAAATCCCAGTAACGACAACTCTCAAATGTCAAGGTCTATTTCCCCCAAACTCCATCTGTATTTATATTTGGGCACATGGAATATTTGTGCCAAGTTTGGTCCAGATCCATCACTGTCTGAGTCCAAAGTGCTCTCTGGGTGTAGGTGAACTACAAATCCCAAACTCAAGGTTTGGGATTTGTAGTTCACCAAACCCTTCCAGTTGGTCATGGGAGTCCTGTGTGCCACGTTTGGTTCAATTCCATCATTGGTGGAGTTCAGAATGCTCTTTGATTGTAGGTGAACTATAAATCCCAGCAACTACACCTCCCAAATGACAAAATCGATATTTTTGAGTGATGGTCTCTCCTTGGGTTAGAAAAGGAAAACTGGACCCATAATGCGTTCTCCCTTCATTCTCTCACAACATGGGAAAGCGGAGTAATTGGATACATCTCTCTTTCTCTCTGTCGGTCTCTTCCCAGCTCATTTGGAAGAAGGAAGGAGCTCCAAAGTCATACGCCCAAAGTCTTACCTTCCCAAAGACACCCCTTAAAGGGGTACCCCAAAAACCGGTACCCCCAAAACCGGACCTCGACAGTCCTACTCCCCAAAGGCATCTCCCGAAGTCCAACCCTCAAACTGGAACCCCCGCTAGTCCTATCCTGAGTCCTATACCCGTACCTCTTTCGGTAATTGGCACGCCAAAGTCCTATTCCTCCCAAAGTATGCCAAGAGGGGTACTCTCAAAAATCCAGGTATCTCCCAAATAGGTACCCAAAGTCCTACATCTAAAGGTACCCTCTAATGTGGTACTCTCTCTAGGTCCCATCCTCCAAGTCTGAAGTGGGACCCCATAGTCCTGCATGACAAATGGTATCCCCAAATGTCTAATCTCCCAAAAGTCCAACCCCAGATCCACTTCAAAGGCAAGTTCCACATCTAAAGGTACCCCCTAATATGGTACTCTCTCTAGGTCCCATCCCCCAAGAGTCTCCTGAAGTGGGACCCCATAGTCCTGCTTGACAAAAGGTATCGCCAAAAGTCTAACCTCCCAAAGGTCCCTCAAAGTCCTACTCCAGGTGCACTTCAAGGGGGTCATCTCCAAAATCCTACCCATAAAGGCAAGTTCCACATCTAAAGGTACCCCCTAATATGGTACTCTCTCTAGGTCCCATCCTTCAAGAGTCTCCTGAAGTGGGACCCCATAGTCCTGCTTGACAATCCCCAAAAGTCTAATCTCCCAAAGGTCCCTCAAAGTCCAACCCCAGGTGCACTTCAAAGGGGGCATCTCCAAAATCCTACCCATAAAGGCAAGTTCCACATCTAAAGGTACTCCCTAATATGGTACTCTCTCTAGGTCCCATCCTAAAGTGGTACCCCATAGTCCTGCCTGACAAATGGTGTCCCCAAAAGTCCAATCTCCCAAAGGTCCCTCAAAGTCCAACCCCAGGTGCACTTCAAAGGGGTCATCTCCAAATAGTTTCAAAAATCCAGGTATCTCCTAAATTGGTACCCAAAGTCCTACATCTAAAGGTACCCCCTAATGTGGTACTCTCTATAGGTCCCATCCTTCAGGATTCTCCTAAAGTGGGACCCCCATAGTCTTGCTTGACAAATGGTATCGCCAAAAGTCTAATCTCCCAAAGGTCCCTCAATGTCCAACCCCAGGTGCACTTCAAAGGGGGCATCTCCAAAATCCTACCTCTAAAGGTCCCTCAACAACAGTAACCCGAGGTCCCACCTCCCAAAAGGACCTCTAGAGCAATACTCCCCAAGCATCAGCCATAAAGTCACCTCTAAAGTGGTAATCCCAAGGTCCCACCTCCAAAAGGACCCCTAAACCAATCCCCTCCAAGCTCCAGTCCCAAAAGGACCTCCTAAAGTACTCCCTCACAATCCTATCCTCTTATGGGGACCCCTAAAAGTGGTACCCACAAAGTCGTATCCCTCAAAGGTACCCTAGGTCCTAGACCCACAAAGTCGTATCTCCCAAAGGTACCCTAGTTCCTAGACCCACAACGTCGTATCCCCCAAAGGTACCCTAGTTCCTAGACCCACAAAGTCATATCCCCCAAAGGTACTCTAGGTCCTAGACCCACAACGTCGTATCCCCCAAAGGTACCCTAGGTCCTAGACCCACAAAGTCATATCCCCCAAAGGTACCCTAGGTCCTAGACCCACAACGTCGTATCCCCCAAAGGTACCCTAGGTCCTAGACCCACAAAGTCATATCTCCCAAAGGTATCCCAGATCCTAGCCCCAAAGGTCTAAAGGGGTACCTTGAGAGGTCAGACAGTAAGGGATAAATATTTTTGAGGCTATTTAAATATTTGAAAGGATACCACAAGGAAGAGGGAGCAGGCTTGTTTCCTGCTGTCCTCAAGACTAGGACTCAATAGAGCCATGAGTTCAAATGACAGGGAAGGAGGTTCCACCTGAACATTAGGAAGAACTCATTCAATAGTAGACCTCTCTGCTTCGGCGTCTGGTGGAAGCTCCTTCCTTGGAGGCGTTTAAACAGAGGCTGCATGGCCATCTGTTAGGGGTGCTTGGGTGGTGCATTTTTGCCTGGCAGAAGGGGGTCAGACTGGATGGCCCCTGGGGTCTCTTCCAACTCTATGACCAAGTGGCACCCCAATGCCCTGCCTGAAAAGGTGCAGTCTAAAGTTACCTTCGAAGTGGTAGCCCTTACTAATCTATGTATATAATAAAACTCAGTGTTTGTATGCGGAGGATGGTGTATATAATAAAAGTCAGTGTTTGTATGCGGAGGATGGTGTATGTGGCAGCTTTCTGATGGGCTGACACTTTCACAGGCCACTGTGACCAGCACAGGTGACAGACCTGGACCAAACTTGGCACACATAACCCCCATTACCCCCTTTACATCCTGGTGAGGTTTGGGGGAGGGCAGACAAAGGATGATGGGATTTGTAGTACTTTCAAACCCATCGGTTCCCACAGACCACTGTGGCCCCCAGCAAAGACCGATAAAGACCAAACTTGGCACATGGAGCCCCCATGACCCACTCTACATCCCACTGCTGTTTGGAGGAGGATGGGCCATGGATGATGGGATTTGCAGTACATCCACTCACTTCCCAAGACCGCTACAACCCTCATCCAGTGACTGATCAAGACCAAACTTGGCACACAGAGCCCCCATGACCCACTCTACATCCTGGTGCGGTTTGGTGGAGGATAGACCACAGATGATGGGACTTGAAGTACCTTCACTCACTTCCCGAGACTGATGTGAACTTCATCCAATCACTTCATCCACTCACTTCCCGAGACCACTACAACCCTCATCCAGTGACTGATCAAGACCAAACTTGGGACACAGAACCTCCATGACCCATTCCACATCTTGATGCTGTTTGGAGGACAATGGACCATGGACTATGGGACTCGAAGTACCTTCATTAACTTCCTGAGAGCACTGCAAGCCACATAAATAACTGATAAAGACCAACCTTGCTGCACAATGCCTTTCTCAAATAACCCGGGCAGCGCCGGGTCCCCAAGCTAGTGTTGATATATTTTACATGTATTTTACTAATACGTGCTGTTCTGTAAGCCACCCCGAGTCCCTTTGGGAGATGGTGGTGGGATATAAATAAAGCTATTATTACTATTATTACCCCGCAAACCCAAATGAGACAATTTGGCTCACCATTCAGGATTCTCGGCAGCCTTGGGGTTGAAGCGGATGTCGCTATTGACGCTGAACAAGACGTCTCGGTCGCCTAAGGCCGGGACGGGCATCTGGTAAAGCGGATGCTGGAAGAGGGCCGCCAGCTTGGAAGCCCAAGGAGATGATGATGATGAGGAATGAGGAGGAGGAGAAGGTGCCTTCTTGCCGCCTTCCTCACCGGTCCCATAGAAACCCGGTGGGGGCAGCAGCCTCTTGGGATCCCCTTCGTGAATGAGTGCCTTGTGGTTGGGGTCCGGCCCCGGGTTCAAGAGCAAGCGGTTGGGGGGAGGCGGTGGGGCCCGCCTCTGGAAGCCGTCACCACGCTCGGGCCCTTTCTTCTCCAAGGAAGGGGCGCTCAAGTTGGAGCTGGGCTCGCTGCTGAAGTCCTGCAGGAGCCTCAGCGTGTGTTTGCTGGGCCAGCCGTCGGGGGCTCCGGGAGGGGGGTCAGGCTCCGGTGGACGCTTCTGGGGTGGCCCTTGACCCCACTCCAGAGCCCCTTCCACGGCCTTGGAGCCACAGGAGCATCCTGGGTTGCCCCCTCCGCCTTCGGCTCGTTCTCCAGGGCCCGCCGCCCTCCGCTCCAGTTTGGGCAGAAGGTCAATCATGATGTGGAGCGTGCAGGCCACCAGGAAGACCAGGAAGATCAGGACGCGGAACCGGCGTAGGAGCAGCATGGCTTTCATGGCCCTGGTCCACTCCGGGAATGTCTCAATCGATAGTTCGATCTCAATATATATATGGGTAGATGTTGGTATGAAGAAAAACTGGGACAAAGGTGACCCAGATACAGATGGAGAATATCAACAATGATGGTGGTGGTGGGGATGGCGATAGGGATCAGTCAAGGCCATCCGGAACACTTCGGAGGAGAATAGTCACAAAAATAATCTTTGAAGAATATTCACAATAATATTTTTCAGATAATATCACAATAATAATCTTTGAAGAATATTTGCAATAATAATTTTTGCAGAATATTCACAATAATATTTTTCAGAGAATATTCGCAATAATAATCTTTGAAGAATATTCACAATAATAATCGTTGCAGAATATTTGCAATAATAATCTTTGAAGAATATTCGCAATAATAATCTTTGAAGAATATCCACAATAATAATCTTTGAAGAATATTCACAATAATAATCTTCAAAGAATATTAGCAATAATAATCTTTGAAGAATATTCGCAATAATAATATTTGAAGAATATTCACAATAATATTTTTCAGAGTATATTCACAATAATCTTTGAATATTCTGCAAATAATACTATTTGCAGAATATTCACAATAATACTATTTGCAGAATATTCACAATAATAATCTTTGAAGAATATCCACAATAATATTTTTCAGAGAATATTCACAATAATCTTTGAATCTCAATAATGTTTAAAGAATATTCACAATAATAATCTTTGCAGAATGTATTGTCGAAGGCTTTCCTGGCCGGAATCACTCAGTTCTTGTGGGTTTTTTCGGGCTAGAACATGGCCATATAGCCCGAAAAAAACCACAAGAATCTTTGCAGAATATTCACAATAATAATCTTTGCAGAATATTCGTAATAATACTATTTGCAGAATATTCACAATAAAAATCTTCAAAGAACAGTCACAATAATCTTTGAAGAATATTCACAATAACATTCTTCGCAGAATATTCTCAATAATCGTCAAGCTTCGTCATGGCCATCCGGACAAATCGTTAGAGCCCGGCCATTGCCATCAGGAGCACTTTCAGTCTTGACAATACTCTTCGAGAGCAGCCAAGGCCATCCGTTTGTCAGTCCTAAATGAGATGAATATGAAGAGATCAGCCAGCACCACCCGGAAGCGTTGGGACGAGAACAATACTAGAAATAATATTTGAGCTCAGCCAGGGCCGGTTGGATCGGTCTCAGTCTTGACAATAGTATTTGAGATCAATCGGGGCCATCCTGGACGGTTTTGAATAGCAACAATCCTAAAAATAATCTCAACTGGGACCGATCGGATGGGTCTCAATTCTGACAACAACCTTTGCGATCAGCCAGACCCATTCGGAGCAGTTTCGATGCAAAATAAAATCAGAGGGAGTAATAACATGATGATAATATTAGCAACGAAAACAGCAGCCAGCCAGGGCCATTGTCCGGACGTAGCAGAGGACTAAGTGTTCCAGAAGCTCGACAACGCAAGGATGACAATAAAAATCTCAATCGGTGAGAAGAATCCAGATGTGGTTGATAACCACAACAATATTAGAGATTGATAATAGCAATAATATTTGAGATCAGATGAGGTGATTTGGAGATGAAGTGGAAAGCTCACAACGATCTGAGAGATGAGTCGCGGCAATCTGGGCTATGCGTTCCTGCTGTTGTTGTTGTGATGATGGTGAGAAAGGTTCCCAAGGCGGTGGAGTCTCTTTGTGTCACCCCCCAAAAAGAGAATGATGGAGGAGACAAAGGAAATAGCGATTGGTTTCAGGCTTCCCGGCTGAGGATGCCTTGCGACCCAGTCCAAGCGTTCGTTGCGGAAATCGTCACGGAAAAGGTCTCCGGGTGGAAGAAAGGCAAGCGGGAAGGTCCTCCTGGCATGTCTTCAAAGGAAGAAGGAGAGGAAAGAAGGGAGCACAATCAAAGCACGGCAGGGGAGGAAGGTCTCCAAAGGTGGCAAGGATGAGGTCTTGGGCCAATGTCAAAACAAAGAAGGGGGCCCATCAAGTGAAGACCACCACGCCGTCCTAGGAAGATGGAGGAGATCCCAGCTTGGAGTTCTCCCTCTCAATGTCTCTCAATGTCTCTCTTGGTGGAATGCCTTCTTCTTGGGCCCATCAGGTGAAGACCACCTCACCATCCAAGGAAGATGGAGAAGATCCCAGCTTGGAGCTCTCCCTCTCAATGTCTCTCTTGGTGGGATGCCTTCTTCTTGGGCCCATCAGGTGAAGACCACCTCGCCGTCCAAGGAAGATGGAGAAGATCCTAGCTTGGAGCTCTCCCTCTCAATGTCTCTCTTGGTGGAATTCCTTCTTCTTGGGCCCATCAGGTGAAGACCACCTTGCCGTCCAAGGAAGATGGAGAAGATCCCACCTTGGAGCTCTTTCTCCCTCTCGATGTCCCTCTTGGAGGAATGCCTTCTTCTTGGGTGGCTTTTGGAGAGGCTTCTTTTGGAGAGGGAGGTCCAACCAACCAGGGTGCTTCAGAGAGCAGAGTCCAGGCACATCTGGGCTGCCGCAGGAAAGCAGGCGGCTCTCTTTCACGTCCAGAGGAAGGAAGAGCATGGGATTTCTCTGCAGCAGGAGCAGCAGGAGGAGCAGCCTCTCTTGCCGATGACCAAGAATCTGGATTCTTTGCAGCAAGAGCAAGGCTTGGGAGGAGGAGGAGGAGGAGGAGGAGAGGGCAGGTGCAGGCGGAGTGCCCCCCTCCAGCCCTCCTTGCAGTCTCTCTCTCTCTCTCCTTTCTCTCTCTTTCTCCCCTCCTGCGGGGGATTGCTTGGCAGGGGCTGGGAGGGGGTGTTAAGTAGGGCTGGAGAGCCCTCCGCCCCGGCGTCACGGCTCAGGGATTGGCTGACACACAAGGAAGGCAGGCAAGGAGGGAAGGAGGGAGGGAAAGAGAGAGAGACACGCAGCCAGAGAGGAGGAGAGGCTGGAGATTGGCTGCCTCCCCCCCCCCCCTCTTGCCAAGGTTTTGGTGGGCTGCAATGGCTGGACGAGCCAGAAGAGGGCACTCTGGACCTCCAAGGCTAGGAAGAGAGAGTGAGCAGGCCCACAAGGAGGAAGGCTGGAGGAGGGTTGCGCAGGCGCAGCTTGGAGATGGCCTGGCTTCCCAAGGGGAGGGAGGGGCTGAGTCACAGAGAAGGAGGACAGGCTCCCCTCTCTCCCCCTCCCTCTCTGTCTCTCATACACACTCCTTCTCATACGCACGCTCTCGTTCTCTCATACACTCTCATACATGCACACACACTCTCACAGAGAGATACAGTGTTTCTCGTGCACTCTCATACAAACACACACACACACTCTCACACAGACACAGTCTTTCTCATGTCGGGAGCCCCCGGTGGCGCAGTGGGTTAAACCCCTGTGCCGGCGGGACTGAAGACTGACAGGTTGCAGGTTCGAATCCGGGGAGAGGTGGATGAGCTCCCTCTAGCAGCTCCAGCTCCTCATGCGAAGGGGACATGAGAGGAGCCTCCCACAAGGATGATAAAAACATCAAATCATCCAGGCAATGTCCCCTGGGCAACGTCCTTGCAGACGGCCAATTCTCTCACACCAGAAGCGACTTGCAGTTTCTCAAGTCGCTCCTGACACGACCAAAAAAAAAAAGTCTTTCTCATGCACACTGTCTCATACACTCTCACACACAGATAGAGTGTTTCTCATATACTTTCATACACAGAGTCCCACATACACTCATATACATACACTGTCACACAGAGAGATACACAATGTTTCTCATACACTCATACACACACATTCTCACATAGATACAGTCTTTCTCTTTCTCATACACACATACACACACTTACTTAGAATCCTAGAATCCTAGAGTTGGAAGAGACCTCCTGGGCCATCATCCAATCCAACCCCATTCTGCCAAGAAGCAGGAATATTGCATTCAAATCACTCCTGACAGATGGCCATCCAGCCTCTGCTTAAAAGCTTCCAAAGAAGGAGCCTCCACCACACTCCCTCCGGGGCAGAGAGTTCCACTGCTGAACAGCTCTCACAGTCAGGAAGTTGTTCCTCATGTCCAGATGGAATCTCCTCTCTTGTAGTTTGAAGCCATTGTTCCATTGCGTCCTAGTCTCTAGGGAAGCAGAAAACAAGCTTGGCTCCTCTCATCCTCCCTGTGGCTTCCTCTCACATATTTATACATGGCTATCATCGTATCTCATCTCAGCCTTCTCTTCTTCAGGCTAAACATGCCAAGCTCCTTAAGCCGCTCCTCATAGGGCTTGTTCTCCAGACCCTCTGGAGTACTGGCTCTCCCAATTTGGTGTCATCTGCAAACTTGATGATCTTCTCCCTCTCTCCCTCTCTGTCTCTCATACACACTCCTTCTCATACGCACGCTCTCGTTCTCTCATACACTCTCATACATGCACACTTTCTCACACAGAGAGATACAGTGTTTCTCATGCACTCTCATACAAACACACACTCTCTCTCACACCTCCACACTCATTCTCATACACTCTCACACACAGATAGAGAGTTCAATGTATTGTCGAAGGCTTTCATGGCCGGAATCACTGGGTTGTTGTAGGTTTTTTCGGGCTATATGGCCATGTTCTAGAGGCATTCCCTCCTGACGTTTCGCCTGCATCACTCGCAACCTCTGAGGATGCTTACAATAGATGCAGGCGAAACGTCAGGAGAGAATGCCTCTAGACCATGGCCATATAGCCCGAAAAAACCTACAACCACCCAGATAGAGTGTTTCTCATACACTTTCATGCACAGACTCTCATACACTCATATACACACACTCTCACACAGAGAGATACACAGTGTTTCTCATACACTCATACACACACGTTCTCACATAGATACAGTCTTTCTATTTATTATACACACATACACACACTTTCTTGTTACACACACACACTAATTCCCTCATACACTCATATACATACTTTCTCATGCACTCATACACACTCTTATACACACACAGGTACAGTGTTTCTCATGCACGCTCATACACTCATACACACACTCTCCCACACCCAGATACAGTCTTTCTCTTTCTGATCCACACATACACACACTCATTCTCTCATACACTCCTACACACACTTTCTCACACACAGATACAGTGTTTCTCATGCACTCTCATACACTCCTACACACACTTTCTCACACACAGATACAGTGTTTCTTATGCACTCTCATACACTCATACACACACACTCTCACGCACAGATACAGTCTTTCTCTTTCTGATCCACAC